CACACACACATATATGTGTACACACACACATATATAAACACCTTGATAAAAACATCTTCCTTTTAAATTCATTCCACTGAGTAGGCACTTGTCTCCAAACAAAATTCAACTGTTTTCCCCTTCCCTTGATACTCAAGAACTAAAACCAGAGACTGAACATATTTTTTCACCTACCTAAGTTCTTTCCTCATCAGAATATTTTAGTTGTCTCTATTCTATCTCAAATACTCCTCATGGAATACACACCCCAAGATTTTCACTTTCCCAGCTCTGCTTGCTCATTAAACCATACTAAACAACTATGGAAATCACAGAGACAAAAAACATTAAAGGTACCCTGTTTCTTTTTTTTCTTTACCTTCCATGAATACCCCTTAATACTCAGATTTTAGTTCCCTTTAACACCTTGCATGCCCCTAAAATAGAACACATCCCTGAATAGCTTGACTTTAGTCAAGGTGGCTGCATACCTTCCTTTAAAAAACATTTAATTGGTACTTGTGTTAACTATAAAAGATCTTTAAGAAGTAAAACCTTTTCCTCTTGCCTATCATCTCCTGGAGAGACATGAATCTTTATTTTTTGCGTTTAGCTCAAACATAATGACTTGATCTTATACAGTCAACACTATCTCATTTTGTTTTTAAGCCACTTGGCACCAATAGAGCATATGTTCTGCCAGTTCTGAGCTAATCTCCAGGAAAGCCTTTGTACAATGATTGAAGAAACTGAAACAGATCAGTGCCCGAGATTTTGAACAGCATACTTGAGCATATGTTTTTAATGAAGTCAATTTATTTTAGAATAGCTATTTTACCAGTTCACCTTCCTTCATAATTTACGTAAACAAATTTTAAAATTAAAAAGGAGCACATGACTAAGAACACAGGTTCATTTCAACTTCGGGATTACAGATAATTCCAAGGCTTTACACATCACTGAATCTGCAACCCATTTCACCCGCGGGTGTCCGGTGGAAATTACAATGTCAAAGAGTACACAGCTTAAAATGTTTCCTACGGTTTCAACTGGTGCAATAGTGTTAACTTCCCATCCCAAACTGTTTCTTACTGTTATTATTAAAACAGCTGTCAGCTGGGCTTCGGTAACCTCTTTGTACAACCGTTTATTCAACGCTTTGGGATCCTTGAGGATGCGTCACACCATATTACCCCTCAAAATGAGATCTAAGAATCTGACGTGTTCCAAGGGTCTACGAACACCATTCGAATGGGCACTTGCAGAACGATGAAGAGAACCCACTGCCCAATGAGGCAAGGACAGAGTACACTGGCATTTAAGACAGAACTGCAGCGTGCCGCTCTCCTTTCCCTTGAGACTATCAAAGCGGCAATTTCCCTTCTCCCTTTCATCTTCCTCTCCCCCTGACCCCGGTACCTCCGATGCTCTCTCCAGGAGGGGCCGCAGCGGTCTCCCGCGGCCGCGCCCGCACCCTGGCTCACGGCGGGCCGGCGGGCGCGCGCGACGGGCCGGGCGCGCCCCCA